CTGTGGATTCCTTCCAGACTAAAATGGTTTGATCAAGCAAGACCCCCTGAGGCAGTGGCCCAGGTGATCCAACATCCAACAAAACTGAGACCATGCAGCCTCACAGACCACTACAGTGAGAAGTTAACCATGATAACTGTTTTGCTATATATAATTTTAGTATATTAAAGTTAAAATCTTTCCTTTTATTTAGACAGAAAAGGGAGATGATGGGGGATATCCTTCCATATGATGTGAATATATGCATCTCTTATTGGTTAATAAGCAAAGCTGTTTCAGCCAGTAGACAGGTAGGATGTAACCAGGCAGGAAGTATAAGCAGGGCTACCAGAATAGGAAAAGGCTTGGAGAAGATGCCAAGGGGGAGCTGCAAAAGAGCAACTATGTAGCTGGCGAGGAAGCAAGAGGCCCAGGCATTCTCCAGTGAGCCAAGACCAGGTGGAGATACACAGATTAACAGAGATGAGTTAATAATTAAGAGAGAGCTAGCCAATAAGAAGCCTGAACCATTGGCCAACAGTTTGTACTTAGTATGAGCCTCTGTGTGTTTATTTGGGACTAAAGGCCTGCAAGACTGGGTGGGACAGAGACTTCAGTCTACAGACGAGGTCACTCTTCATGGGTCCTGATCTAAAACCTGTTCCCACCAAAGTAATAGTTTCCTATCGGGAAGGAATGCTATCATGAGTTCTGTCTGACAAAAAAGAAAAGAAGATATTGGCAGAAAAAAAAATAAAGCTCACAACACTCTTCCTGCTACCTGAAGAACCTTAAAATCCCTGTCTGTAAAGAAGCCCTGCTTCCTTTTCAAGACCTCAGCCACATTCCCCCAGACCGGCCCCTGGGGAAGAACTGAATATGCTCCTTGTGTGGGCTATCTTAGCATCTTGTCCACACCTCTTTCACCTCATTTGCTTACTGTGTGTTTTTGCTTTGATATATATTTGTTCTTCACACATTGGATGTGAGAATCTTAAGTCACAGGCATTTCTTCAAAAGGACATTCATACAAGTATATGAGTATTTTGACTATAGTCACTTCATCATCTTACTCCCCTTCCTATTAATCACACTCATTTTCCCCAAGCCAGACAACCTTGCCTCTGTTTTCCCATGTCTCTTGATTCCATCTATCTATGTAGAATCTATGATCCCCAAGTTAAAGAAAACATATGGTTGTTATTTGTCCTTCTAAGTCTGACTCATTTTGCTTAATGTAGTGATTTCTGATTGCATCTGTGTTCCTGCAAATGGCCTAATTTCACTTTTGTTTATGGTTGAATAAAACTCTATTTCTGTGCACACTCACCTGTTGATAGACACCTAGGTAGACACCTAGGCTGACTCCATAACTTGGCTATTGTGAGTAAGGCCAACACAGTTATTTTGTAAACACGATTGTGTCTGATATTTGTTTAGTGTCTCCTTCATAAACATGACCCAGATTCCTCCTGGCTGTGAGTTCTATGAAAGCAGGGACCATGTCCCTGTCATCTTGGCATCTTCAGCCTCTTCTATAGAACTTGGAAATGTCCAGGGACCAGAGGCTTGGCTCTTTGGGAGGCATGGAGGATGTGTATTGCTCTGGCTGGACAGAGAAGCCAGAATGCTGAGTTCAAAGGAAGCAGCTACATGCTACTGGACTCATCCCTGTACATTCCTCAGAGCCTTGCATTCTATGTAGCAGTGACTATGCCTATAGATTGTAGCACATGCCTGGCCAGCCCTGGTACCTTACATGTGGGAAGTACTATCCTTCATCGCTGGATGTGAAAATCTCAAGAGGTTACCAGAGGTCAGCTTAAGTTCCTTGGAGCTAACCTTTTCTTGTTGGGGACGATATTCCTCCATAAATACTAAAGTTGAGTCACTGCGTAGCAGCCCCAGAGTTATCAGGGCCAAACACTATTGTCTGGACACCCTGACCATCATACTTCATTCCTTCCCTTGACCACAAGGAGAGGATTTCCTCCCCTTCACATTGGCCTTTCCTCCTCATATCTACTGTTTTTAGTTCCTTTCTGTGCACACTCTCACTAGTGCCCCCTTCTGGCCTCTGTGAGCACTGTACCCACATGCACAGCATGTCTCCTCCATCCTATTCCCCACAGATCTTTTCTTTTAAACACTATTCTATTCTTGGAAGCTGGTCTGGGCAAGCAGTGAGGTTTGACTGCATTTTCCTGGTTGTGTCCCTGTTATGAATTCTTCACACAGCTAGAGAAGCTAGGAGAATGGGAAGTGTGAGACCTCTGACTGCTTCCTCAAGGCAGCCTTACCCATGGCATGACACTGAGTTCACTGCCATTTTTGTCTACACTGGAGACCAACCTGTCAGGAAGGGGTTCTGCCTAACTGTCTGGACTATAAGCAGCAAAACACAGACAGAGGGCAAAAGGCAAAAGGAGACAAACTAGACAAGAGGAAGTATGAGACAAGCACATTTATGTGCCTTTTGAAAAGATGCGCCTAGTAAAAGAAAACATATTGCCACATCTGATAAGGAAAAGGCAGTGTCCTCAATACAGAGGCCTTATGGAGGAGCAGGGGTAGAGCCACGGCCTTTAAAATGGAGAGATATTGTGTCATATAAGAAAGTCAAAGCAAATGATTCATTTTTTAAAAATTCAAAATCAAGCAGAGAGATACAGGGTATCTTTTGGGAGATGTCATTCATCAAATTGAAACTCTTGTAACTGAAGTGTTACAAGGCCTGTAACCCCAGCTGCTGGAGATACTAAGGCAAAAATACAAGTAAAAACAAGCCTAGACTACCAGAGGGAGTTTAAGACTAGCCTGGGAAACTTAATGAGACTGTGTCTCAAAAATAAACAAATGAATTAAATGGATGGGTTATAGCGCAGTAGAGCGTGTGCAAGACCCTGCACTTATGTACCACAAAGAACAGCGAGCGTCCTACGGGGCTGGCAAAGCTGTGGGAGAGGGAAACAGGGAAAATGAGCCCTGAAAGGGGTTGAGGGGGAGGTTGTCCATCGGCGTCAGTGTAGCAGAATTACCAAAGGAAGAAAACAGACAGCTTGCCTAGGCCCTGAGTACGGTTCCCAGCAGTAAGGAAGGATGGGAAGAAAGGGGGACAGGAGAAAAGGAGGGTGAAAGGGAAAAGGAAAGGAGTGAGGACAGGGACAGAGGGCTGTGGAGGAGAGGGGGGAAAGGAAGAGAAAACAGCAGGGGAGAAAGGAAGGAAAAGGAGAGGAATTTGTTTTTAAAAGTACTTTGGTCATAGAGGAACTATTCATGTTATTGCATTATGTAGAAAATTCCAGAATTGTAACTGACAGAAAGCATGAAATCAATTATGTGTATGAATACATGCTGTATATAGTAAACTACATAGTTGGATCAAAATGTGTATATAAAGATTGTTAGGAATTTTCTCTGCATTTTGTTTACTTCTTTCTACATTCCGTGGCTGTTTTAGTAAATCATATAAAAGTAGAAAATGGTTCTCTTGCAAGTGCTTCTAATTGCCATCAGATCCCTCCTCCATTCCTCCATCTCAGTTGCTCTCATCCCAAGTTTCCTTTTTTTAAATGTGCATTTGTATTTTGCTTCCATGTATGTCTGTGGGAGGGTGCCAGAGTTCCCTGGAACTAGAGTAGCAGACAGTTGCGAACTGCCATGTGGTTTCTAGGACTTGAACCCAGGTCCTCTGGAAGAGTGTCTAGTGCTCTTAACCGCTGCACCATCTCACCAGCACTCCAAGATTCTAACTTTAACTTTCCTACACTAACACTGACTATTCCCATAAACACATTGTGAGTAAGACTCCTGAAGCCACACCACAGTCTGGTCTAAGTGGCCTGTGGAGATGACTTGGCACTTAGAAGACCTTGCCTTTGTTTTGACAGGAGGGGGAAGTGACGGTCACAGGCATCTCCACCTACCCTTCACACACCTAACCTGGAATTGTCAGACGCCTGAGAATCTGTCCATAACCAAGGTTAATGTTACCTGAGACACATCTGCGCTGCCCACATTCTTTCTGTCTGTCCTCAGTAGGAGCATGTCCTTACCTCTGAGCTATTTTAGCTTATATTCGAATTATTTTAATGAGAGAGTTTTTATGAAGTCAAAGATGAGACAGACAGATGGGCGGTGCCGTGTTGAGTGTCTACCCTCTGTGCACTGGGAGGCTGGTTTTCTCATGTGTCTTAGAAGTAAGGAGCACAGAAATAAGTTGACTTTTGACAGTGTGGATAAAGCACTGTACATCTGCCAGCAGCCAGGGTATGGGGCAAAAAGCATAAGGGCTTAAACCAATGTCAAGTCCAAGGCAACCCTCCTGCTTACCAGCTTTGTGGTTTGGGGAGATACTTTTTCAGAGTTGCAAATCTTCCCAGATGTAAAGTGTATGTGGGCGGGACACATCCAAACCCTCCCCTACTCCACTGAGAGGCATTCATCGGGACCTTGTATCCGGAGGGCCCAGAAGGGAACCATGCGCACTTGGTCATTGCCTCTTTCTAGGGGTTGCTACTTGGAAGACACAAGACCAGCTTGATTGGAAATCTATAAGGAAGAAGTCCAGCTATCAGTCAGTTGACAACTGTCAACCGAACCCCTACCACATGTCACTTTGAGCAATTACGAATCTTCCTGGGTGTTAGGATGTACCTCTGGGAAATGGGAGCTGAGAGCATCCAATACCCAAGGGACTACATGTATTCTTTGTGTTGCTCAGAGCCTAGCAAAAGTTATTCCATTGCTCACTTATTTCAGACATGTTTTCCCTCATTGTAAATAAAATAGGAATCTGGGAAACAGCCTAGAATCTAAACACAAGAAAGTATCTGTTCTTTTCAATTCATTTGGTTTGTAGTTGAGTAACTGTGAGTTATACCTAGCGCTCTCCATTCTCCCCTACCCTGCCCTCTTAGCTAAGAGCTCCTATGGGTAGCAACCATGTAGGGTCAGGGCTATGCAGCAAGCCTTGGTTATACTGCATGTGGTAATACAGCTGTTGCTTCCTTTCTTGACAGGTCCTTCAAACCAGACTTCATCCTGGTCCGACAGCATGCCTACAGTATGGCCCTGGCTGAGGACTACCGCAGCCTAGTCATCGGCCTTCAGTATGGAGGGCTTCCTGCTGTCAACTCTCTCTACTCCGTATACAACTTCTGCAGCAAGCCCTGGGTGGTAGGTGACAGACAGCCTTAATGGGGGAAACAGGGAAGCATGAGGTGGTCTCCCAGCCTGGAAATGGGTCCATTCACTGTTCAGAGCCTCAGCAAGAAGAAGAATCTAATTTAAGAAACTGAACAAGCAACTTGACCCCAGGTCTCTTCTGGGAATTGTAGCCTGAAAATATTATGTATAACACATTATGATACAGGATCGTTTTATAGTCATATTAGTCTTGCTGGTGCTTTAGCTCAGTTGCTAGAGTGCTGGACTCAATCTCCAGTGTTACGTAAACCAGATGTGGTGGTGCATATCTCTACTCCCAGCACTAAGGAGATGGAGGCAGGAGGATCGGACAAGGTCATCCTTGGCTATGTAGTAAGAGTTCTAGGCCAGCCCAGGCTATGGAAGGCCCTGACTCAAACAAACAAACAAATGTATCTTGTTGTTTTTAACATCCTATTATAAGTTTCTTATTGATGCTCTTCGATGTTATCAAACACTTATTGAATACTAGAAAATTGTTGCAGATGCCCATGCTATCACTGTAGTAGAAGATGGCATCATTCATCTGTCCTACAGGGAAGGCTTAGTGTCAGAACTCTGGGATTTTAGGACTAGTGAACGGTAAACCCAGACAAAGCCCTCTTTCTCCAGCTCTCACATTGCTTTCTCCCCACTGAATCACTAGGTTCAATTGGTTTACTTAAGTTTCCATTCAAGTGTTATCCAAAAACAAAGGATCTTCCTAAAATTCTAGCCCTCCTCTATTCTCTCCAACACTCTCTGTCCCTACCTCCACTTTGTTATCCCACCATGGGGCTGCACCTAAAGGACCCCATTCCTTTATCTATCATTTATTTCCCTTAATACAAGCAATGTAGCCACACACATACATAGTTATGGCACCGGAGTACCTGCCCCATTCTAGTGAAACAGTCTATTAACAAATATAACAACTGTGTCACCTGTCCCATGGTATGTACCTATGGGAAAAACGAAGGAGGCTCAGAGGTGTGGGGAAAATGCTCCGAAATGTCTCATCTCTCTGGCACACCCTGTTTGGTTACCTGTCTGTCATCACCTGTGAGTGAAGAACACTGATTAGAGTCTGGGCACTGGAGCTTGATTGACCAAGGCCAAGTTTCTCCACTTACGTGTACCCTGGAGCAATTTCATTAACCCCCCTCCCCTTTCCTCCCTCTCCCCCCTCTTTCGGTGTCCTTATTTAGAAAAGGATGGTAATAATAGGGTTTTTCTGATTTCCAGTGGGAGCATGTAAAGTTTTTATAATGGTGGCCAGTACACAGTATACCCTAAATAAATGGTGGCAACAATTTTTGCCTCTTATACATGGACTATGTCTGGGCTGGGATGGCTCTCAGTATTTGTTGAATGACTGCTTGGGTTAATACGTAGATGTGGCTGGTCTTGGCTACTGCCATCCTAGCTCTGGTCTCTTTATGTCATATCTAAAGGTTTTGACTCATGGAACCTAAGATTTGAGTGCCACGAGAAGGAAACAGTCCATAATTTTGACAGCAGCAACTTCATTAGCATTCACTATGTTATGTGCTAACCTACATCCACTGCACAAATGAATCTGAAACCCAGATAGTTGGCAGTAAGAACTGTAGTTCTTCTCCAAAACCCACCAGTGGAGCAACGGAGTCACATTCCCGCTCTGAAATCCAGCTTCCTTATCTGTAAAATGAGGGACACCCCAAAACGGTTCTCCAGGCCTTTTAGAATGACTCAGTTCTGTGCTACGTGTGTGGGATATTCCCCAAGAGTGCACAGGAACCCAGTATAGAGCAGGGATTTCCCCAGCATCCTTATTTCTATGTCCAAGATATTGGCATTTTCCTGGCATAAAATGTGGCTCTTCTAACCACGAGGTACCTATGTTTGCAGAGTCGAAGTTGTTCTGGTTCCAACTCTCCTTTGCCTTCTGAGTGAATAAGACCCTTGGTCCAGCCTTTTAAAGCTCGTGATGACCATAATGGACTCTTTGCCTGCTTCCTGACCATACCCCTGCACCTGAGGCCACAGCCGTGCAAGCCATTGAAGGCCTTCAGAAACAGTGGTCTCCTTGAATACACAGAGTACCCTTCTTCTTCTTATGGCATAGGTTTGAGGAGCCTTCCTGATGACCCCCACCCTCCTCTTTGTCACAAATTCCCCATGCTTCCCATAGCTTTGCCTGTCTTCCCATAGGCCTGGCCCAGCAGGCTTGGAGTGTTGCCCTAATCATGCACAATTCCAGGCACCACGTGAGCACTGCACAGTCATTGGATCTGACCCTTACTCTGGAAGCACAAGCTACTCTAAGGTTCCATTAAGAAGTGAAGAGATGTGTTGTACAGCAGGGACCATCTGAGTGTTTGCAATGTATAGTTGTAAAAGCAGAAGAAATATTACTCACTACCTACTACCATGAATTAGGCAGTAGTGTCCTCGCAATCCAGCGAGTAAGACTTTTGTACCTTCTCCATTTGCAAATTAGGAAACAGGTTTCTGAACTCCCCCTCCAGGTCTCATAGCTATAACAGTAAGAATTTGAATGAGAGTCTGGTCTTAGAGTGAATGTCATGAAGTGCCTACAGTGCTGTCCTAGAAATACAGACATTGCAGGCAGAAGGATGGCAGCGCCCCCAGCAGGTTGTACTGGGGGCAAGGACCTTGTGTGAAACGGCTGAGAATGCAGTTGAGTGCTCGTAAAATGTAGTTGAACTGAAGTCAGTGACCTGCCTACCTTCTGGATCACGGGCAGGCACAAAGGGTAAAAGAGAAGATGATACCCAGCCAAGGAAGTTGGCTTTTTATCCTGGTGGTGAGAAACAGCTTCTAGAAGTGAACACAGGACAGATGCTTGAAGGCCAGAATCAAGTGGGTGCTGGGACCCTCGTGGGGAAACCCTGACTGGCTAATGAGCTCTCCTTTTCTCTCCCAGTTTTCTCAGCTCATTAAGATCTTCCATTCTTTGGGTCCTGAGAAGTTTCCACTGGTGGAGCAAACATTTTTCCCGAACCACAAGCCAATGGTGAGTGCCATTTTAGCTTTGCTTATCTTCATGACGCGGGACGACCTGACCTTACGTTTCTGTCTCCTGAGTCTCTCTCGGCAGCTCACAGCTTGCTTCCTGGTTACCTGAACTAAACACATAAGCCTTCATGTCCTGTGTTTGTGGGAATGTCTAGTGTTCCTTGGGGAAGGTTCAACTTCCCCAGAAGAATTTCAGGCAATAGGGCAAGTGACAAACGTACTTGGCACTCTGTGAAACACATCAAGGGACATCCTAAGCTGCCATGGAACCAGAGGCTGAGTATAAAGGGCAAAACTATTTTTATTGTAAAATGTGACCTTCAGTACACTTTTCCTGGGACCTGGTTTCCATGGGAATTTTAATAAAAGCTGTGGAATTTTATTTGTGGTGGTTATTAAAAAGCAGTTTGCTTGTTGTTCAATTTCCTTTCTTTGAAGCACATCTGTGTTACCTCTGGGAGTTTACTAGAACCCAGGTGGCAGTATGGGGCTTTCTGACTATTCGGAAGGTTTAAGGCGAATGTCCATGGTTAGAATTTTGGTAGAAGAGTTTGAGCTGCTGGAACCAGGCTCCATTATGCCTGCTTATGTGATTGGTACATGGTCAGTGTACTTGGCCTTGCAGGGAATAAGGACTTAGGGAGCAAGAGTAATGTATTCTCATCCCAGCTAGGGACAGTGATCTGCTTAGATTTCAGGCTCTGGCTGCTGAGTTAGACAGGCTTACTTCAAGACACTGCCAGGTAGGCCCAGGGCTTCAGTGGGAGCAACCTAGTCAGTTGGACCCTCATTAGTTACCTATCTGCTGTATCTACCCATTGGTCACAAAATCCAGGATGTCTGAGGCTCTCATTGGTTGTCTGTCTACTGTATCTACCAGGTTGTCAGTTGGTCTGAGTAGGTGTAATGGTAAATCTGAATTATCAGTTTGACTGGAATGAAAAGAACCCAAGTTAGTAATGAACTTTCTAGGTGTCTGTCAGGGATTAACTGAGCCAGGAAAGACCAACTTGGAATGTGGGTAGCATGCCATCTATGAAGCTGGGGGCCAAAATGGGGTTAAAGGAAATGGAGGGAGGCTGGGGCTTAGGGATTGTCCTTTATTTCAGTCTACCATGATGAAAGCTGCTGGGTACAGTGAAACAAAGCCTCTGAAATCCGGAACCAACACAAAATCAAGCCTCCCCACGTGATATATTTCTTTCTGGTGTTTGGTCACTACAGTGACAAGTCTGTATAACCCTGAACCTGTATAAACTAACTAAAAAATTTCAGGGTTGCCTTCAAAGCAGCTAATTACTAATTGCTGACCATTCTACTGACAAGATTTTAGATGAGAATGTAATCTCAGAGTGGTAGAACCATAGCAGGGTGATAAGGGTCTGTGCACGTGTTATGCTTAATTCTGTGTCTGGCATATGGTGGGTGCTCAGAGTGGAGAACCTTTCAAACAGGGGTAAAGGCCATGGCCTGGAGCACTGGAAAAGGAGGGCTCATAGTTAAGTGTGGTATGGAGTGCAGAGTAGCTCATTGAGTGCTGGGAGGAGCTCACCAGTTGTTCTAGGTCCTCAGGAATCCCTGGCCTTCTCAAGGAGCTTCACTCAGGATTTCAGTAAGACCGCTGGCATCGAGTATGCCTGCCCGCAAGCTTCCATTCCCACTCAGACCATGGAACTCTTAGGGAAAAACATGAGTTAGGCTGGAGACAGTGATTAGACTGAGGTCTCTTAAACACTGGTCTGGGGGGATCCTGCCAGTACAATGGAGAAGTAAAGTTAGTGCTGGCTTAGCAGCCATATGGGGCTAAGTATACTCTCCTGGAATCTGTTGCAAAATAAAAGTCTTAGTCAAGGTGGCCCTAAATGTAGACACGGGTAGAAGGAGGCTGTGTGCAGGAGTGTGGAGGACAGGCAGCATCTGCTTGCAAGACCCTCTCTGAGACCTTTATAATCCCCTAAGACAGGACACAAGAGACAGCAAGTGTGTGATAGAAATAAAACCACTTTACTGTTTAGAATAAAGGACACACTATAAAAAGTGAACATTATGCAACATTACAAGACAATATACATTCACGGAATATAAAATTCATAAATAACATGGAGGAAAACTGTAAACAGTGCTACAAAATTTAGCAACAAATACATTCCTTCTAGACAGGGTTTTCTCTGGTTGGTGTCTCTTCATCATTACTGGGCTTCAGCACAGACAACTGGCTAGAGGAAAAGTAGTCATAGAGAATCTAAGGTACCCTGTCCTCAGAGCATGGTCGTTTTCTTAGGTCCTCTCCTCCTAAATCCAGACAGCCAACTTGGACCTGTGGAGATGGTCTCTCCTGCCTTCTCCGTTTCACTGTGCTTCTGTAATTATGTATATATCGTTTCTCTCCAATACAGATACTAGAGTGATGCTTTTAACTTTCAGTAGCTGGGATGCCAGCTGTATGCCACCTTGGCATGAGGCAAGTGCACCCACACTATCTTCCAGACCGATCTATCCCCAAAAGTCATCGCTTAGCCTTCATTGTTTAAGAAGTACAGCACGAAACAGTGTTTGTGTGGCAGGGCTAGGACTGAAGAAGGTAGGCACTAGGGTTTCCCTTAGCTCCTTGCCAGGGCTGTAGCAGATGTGAGTCTGGGGAGCAAGAGCCTGTGCATAGGAATTCCTTGGCTGGGAGGCAGAAAAGATGCCTGGATGAGACAAAGAGAGCTTGGAGTCACAGTTGCCATGGCCCCAGACTTTGCAGAAGCCATAGCTTCCTGGTTGAGTAGGAGAAAGATCTTGGGAAGTGGGTGGAAGATGGCCCAGGGATAGGAAATACAGGACAAGAGTGTACTTTGTTTTTGTTTTGGTTTTTTTTTTTCTTCTTCTCCTCCCCACCTTTGGGATTCCGTGGGGAGGAGGTCGGGGAGGCTGTTTCTAGTGCCTTTATTCCATGGGGAGGAGGTCGGGGAGGCTGTTTCTAGTGCCTTTATTTCCTTGAACTCCAGTATAGCTGAGTGCTTGAGTACCCAGTGCTTTACCCTCCATTCTGCTCTAGAATTTGAATCAGGAAAATGACATGTGGGTTTCTCTCTTTCTTTCTTCTCTTAGACACAGTGTACACAGGACAGCCTACACATGGCACATGATTTAGCAAAATAAAACATTCTTGATATGATTGAAATATCAAAGTGTCTCAGCTACATAAATGATTTTAAATTATACAATAAGTGAACAGGTGAAATAAACAAAGCTATAGCTTATAGAAAGCTCAGAAACTGCCCTCTGGTGACATGATTTTTCCAGAAGACCCCCTCCTTGCCCAGGACTTCTCGCCAGGGCCTTAATAACACGGGACCATGGTTCTGCCAGCTGATTTTATTTTCAGGTTAACTTCAGGTACCTCACCCTCAGGCCTCACCTTGTCTCTCCCTCTAGGAGTGAGGTGATTATACATTGAGAATGGCTAAAGACCACTTAGAAGAGACACTGGGGTGACATATGGGATGGCACTTGAGCAGGGTAGATCCAGAGATCCGTGTTAGGAGACTCTGAATAAAGAACCCCAACAGTAAGACACCCAAGAACCACTGGCTCTCTGACCTTAGCTCCTTCTCCACGTGTGGAAAGGGCAGTGCCCTCTGTCCCCTGTGAGCATGGGGGAATGAAATCAACCAAGAGGAAACTTGACACCCATTGCCCGAACTGCATTCCTGCTCTGCTGTTCCATCAAACACCAGGCCAAAGCATGGTGTATGTGGGGTGGCATTGGGGGCAGACACTAGAGGAACATGTTGACTTTTCTCTCTCTCTTTCTACTTATAATTGCTAACTATGTTTCCTAAAGTGGAATGAACTGAAGATATGATACTAATAGAGGATATATACCCATAATCTAAAGAGACAGAGAGTAATTATGTTAAATGTCACCACCTTACCACCTCAAAGTCTGTAAAATACACATTATCACCTACTATTGGCAATGCATTTTTGACACTAAAACTTAAAATAATCTTATTTAATAGGAAAATTTATATTATAGTTTTATTTTAAAAACAAAAATACAACACAACAAAAAGTCTACATGTTGACAGCAGAGCCTGGCTCTCTCGGCGACCAACCATGTTTATTCTGTGAGGTGACCACCTAAGGAGGTAGTGTTCACCCACTGCTGAGCTGGGGAAGATCTGCCCCAGATGCAGGAGAGGAGGCACTCCACAGAGCAGGATGCTGTGCAACTGTCCCTCTCGTGTGAAGGCCCCTAACCTACACTCACACTCACCTGCCACCAGCTGGCCAGTAAGGCAATGAAGTAAAGGCCACGGGGACACAAGGCAGAAGGAAGAAAGGAGGTGAGAGGTCAGATGATCCCAGTTATAGGGACAAGAGGGTGCTGAGGGCTTTCGGAGTTTCAAATGTTTAATTCAAATGAAAAAAATGTCAACTTGGAATGTCACAATTTCCCGTCAAACAACAAAAGGAAAGAGATTAAACCATTTGCATATTTAACAGCATTGAATAGAATTCTGTGTCCTATAAAAATTAGCTCATAATCCCCCTGTGGGTGTATGAAAATGTATATATAAACACATTCCCCTAGATGAGCTAAACACTACTTTGGAGATAGTATTCTCTACCCAAATCTACTTGACTATATCTGTGGCTAGTGTCTGGTGTGTATTTCTCCAGCTTACATATCGGCAAGCTTCAAACCAAACTTCCCCAAGAATCCCCAGGAGAATGTCTCATGGGAGGCAAGAGGGAAAGATGTTCATTGCAACCCTTTGCCTGAGTTTTTGTACAAGCAGACAGGTTGTCTGCTGAACTCAGGCAGATGTTTACGTCTTCACCAATGCAGCAAGTTCTGTTACTCTGACATGGGTGCTTGCTGCAGAATCTGAAACATCTAGTCAACCCAAGTATCACTGAGCTGGGGAATTGTGTGTCACCTCAGACCTACCCCTGCAGTTTACCCTTTCCCTCCCTCACTCTGACATGCAGACACAGACAGACCATCTGACCCAGATACACAGTTGTCTATCCTCTGTGCATAAGGTCTTCTGAATATCTGGCATCTGTCTGCTCTTGACTGATTTGGAAAAAGTTGGACTTCTACCAACCTCCTTCTCTATGTTCTTTGTGGACCAGGATGAAGATGAGTAACTGGAAGTAGGTCTAGGATGTGGTGAAGAGAGGAAGAAAGAGGAGTAGCTATGAAATGCCCAAATGGGATAGATTTTTCAATTTTTGTTTTCCTAAAAAAATATAGATTATATATCATGAAGAAGAGGTGTATACATGCCTCATTCTCTCTGACTTGGCATCAGGGATTCCCAGTTACAAAGGGGTGATGTCAAAACCAAAAAAGAAGGGATAGGGGCAGGGCCAGGAAGGTATTTTCAAATCAACTCCATAAACAGCAGAGACTTTTAAGTGTCCCCAGTGCTAAATTTGCAAGAAAACAGGCACTAATTTCATTGTCATCATCTGGGAAGAGTTAGTGTCCGGGAGGCTCAGTGGGATGGGAAGGAGATGAGGTGGGGTGGGTCTGAGTTCAGGGGTCTGTGGCGTTGCTGATGCTCTTGTCTGGAGGGGCCCATCCTCGGTACCAGCTGCAGTAGCCACCCTTCTGCCGGATGCAGGCATAGTGTTTGGACTGATAGCCAGGGTAGCCAAAATTGGAGAGCATGTCGGTCCAGAGACACTCGTTCTTGGAGGTCACAAAGCAAGGCAAGTAGTAGCAGGACTTGATCTGCAGTAACACACAAGCCACAGTTATGGGGCTGCACCATGGCAGGTTCAGCCTGGATTCAAACCTGGGGCCCCTGCTCCATGTTGCTGACAGTGTAGTTACACTAGCTACTAGCTCATGCCACTCACTGAGCATCTACTGGGTACTAGACCGAGCGCCGCTAAACTTGTGGTCCAGTTCTAACTCCCTTCTATAAGTAAAGAGGCTCAGGAAGGTTGCTCAGCCTGCTCCAGGTCATACAGTCTGGAGTCCCAGATTAGATGCAGGAAGCGAAGACTAGCACTGCTGTCGGAAATGATAAGAAAAGCAGCATGCGTTTTAGAGTTCAGTAGCCCTGGGGTGGAAGAGACTTAGCAAGCTCCATAACCCAGAATCACATAGCGAAGATCTCTGTGCCGTCATCCCTTACCTGTACAATGAAGTAATTAAGAGGACATGAGATTATTCTGAGGATGAGGGCAGAGAGTGACTAAGGGACCGGGCAGCAGCTGATGTCAGCAGGATCAGCCAGCCTGCTCACCTGGGCAAGGATTCCAAGTGAGTCAGCTGTCAGAGTGAACCTACTTAGGACAGCTTGGTAGAACCCTCAGGGAAACCTCCTGTTCCTGTCATAGCCTTGTACAGCTGGGAGGGCCAGCATGCTGAAGAGCCCTTGTAACCTAGCAGCTGACAAGTTGACACCATCCAGTCAGGGAAGACAGAACATAGGCATTCTTCAGCACTTTCTTGCCTAACTTGCCCCAGGGCCACGTTCCTTACCACTCCTACAACACCCCCAATAGGCTGTCTGTCCTAGCAGAGCAGGAACCAAAGCTTCCAGACTGACACTATAGAACTCACCTTGCAATTGCAACCCAGGTGGTAACGGTAGTTGAGCCCCTTGCGCTGGGACAGGGTGAGCTGGTCCCACCTCTCCACAAAGTTGCATAATCCTGTGTACATCTTGCCTTCGTAGACACGGCCTGACATGGGATTGAAAGCAAGGGAATAGGCATATTCTGTTAGAGTCCCGCACTGCCAGGGCCAGGCACTGACCTGACAAGTTTGTGACACCTTCCCCAACACCTTTCACATGAACTCTGGCTTGTTTTCCAAATGACAATGGAGCTTGAGATACTGAGCACTCCACTGAAGGTCTCAAAGATCTTAAACTCCTCAGGGTTTTGCATGTTGCCATTACTAAAAATGACAGCCTAAGGATTGATCTGTGACATAAGAAAAGCCAGTGACATAAGACAGATTGACTGTCAAGTGCTGTAGACCAGGAAGCCACTTTCTAGTTGAGTTAAAGCTGAGATACCACAAAATCAGGGCAGCCAGATGCACGATGGAGCCAGGGCTGCCAGCCAGCACAGCCAGCACTGGGTAAGCAAGAGTTCACTTGTTGAGACTCGCGGCTGTGACCTTCAGGACGCCACTGACTCAGCTGTGGCAGATCCACAGCAAAGGAGCAAGTGCCTCGGTGCTCCAGGTGTCTCTTACCTGTCAGCAAGTACTGGTATTTGTTGACCTCTAGCTTAAGGCCACAGAGACTCTCAGAGGCTTCCGTGTGGATATACTGCACGTGGGGCATCTTACTGAAGCCTCGGTACATCTGTGGGTAAAAGGAAACATGGTCATGAGGGAGGGGTCAAGCCCAATCAGCACGCTGCTGTGTAGTGTATGAGTTTCTGGTTCCCCTGAGCAGCCAGTCGGGGGCAGGCTGTTATGTCATCTCCACAGGGTTCCCTGCACACCAGAGAAGGGCATCTATTCTTTTCCCTGAGCCATGTCCCATCCAGCTGCCCTACACTACTCCTCTACCTACATATCTCCCAAACCGCAATGTCCCTTCACAGATTCAAAGCAGATGTTATGAAAAGCTCCATGTTGCTCCATTTAAGTTTCAAGAGGATAGCGAGCCAGCCAGCTGGTCTCCACATGACATGTTTGTGACATGCTAGCATGCGCAGCAGCATTCTTACAGCATCCTCACAAGAGCCTGGAGAGAAGGTACCGAAAGCTCCATCTTTCAGATGAAGATACTAAAGTAAATTCTACTTGACAGGAGGAGAGTAAGCATTGTCTATGTTTTTATTTTTCTGAGCTTCTGGGGAAGCATTGAGTTCCTTTACTCAAGATGAATTGCATATATATAAATGTAAAAAAAATCAAAACTTCTTAAATAAGCATATCATTATTACTAGATTAGACTATGTAAAATCCATCTACATGACTGAATCAGGCTCTCAACCAGAAGCAAGGCTGCGCCCCTTGGAAACATTAGAAACATGGACGATGACAGGAGAGTGGACAGATTGCAAGGGTGCTGGTAATCTTCCTGTGATATGTAGAACAACCTCGGGTACAGAGTTACCTGGGCCCAGTGTTAGTGACAGTGAGGCCAGGAGACAGCTGACTATCTGGGCACTGAATGCCCAGGACCTGAGGCAGGAGCCTTGGTGCCCGCTCTACAGGATAGGCTCAGAGGCTTGTCTATAGTCACACAGTTGGTTCTCAGCAACAGCCCGTAGTCTGTGGTCTCCACGGGCATCTGTCACCAGCTCCCCTGGCAGCCTGTGAAGCTTAGGACCAGGGCTCCCTCAGGATCAGCAGCTTCTTCTGTTCCCAGCTCTTGTGGGTCAGCATGTGCTCAGAGTACTATGACGATGACAGAGCCTGAACACATTCTGCAACTCTAGGATGCGTCTACGTGTGTCGCACAAGTCCTGTCACCTGTGAGCCAGGGAGGGTGGAGAGGGCCATCCATCCAGACCTGGCCTGATCCTTACCACTCAGGGATCTTGACTGACTGGTTGTTATTAGTCTGCCCAGTTTCCCTAGCATGAATTATTAATTATCCAGGTAATTAATACAAGTCAGTGTACCCCACAAATACCCCACTAAGCCTGATGGGCTGTATTTAGTCCTCATCTTCTAACTGGCAAAAGCGTGGCAGAGGCAGGTGGTCCCCAGGGCACAAAGACGTCTGTTGGACCTACCCAGTCTAGAGACTTCTCCTTGTTTACAGAGTGCACTGTCCTAAAGGATTGAAGTAGACCCCTTCTGACCCCTTTTCCTCCCCTGGGGCTTCAAGGAAACTTGGGGTTCAATTACTCTGTGGGGGCGTATGACTAGTGGGTCAGACCAGGGCGATGGCTTGTTGGATGCCCAGGAAACACATTGAAGACCCCCCATGTGAAGTCCCATCACCACGGCCTGCAGAGAGCAAGCTTCACTGACTTCCCTGCCCGGTACCTGCTCACAGTGCTTTCCACTAAACTCCTAGTGGGTGCAGTGTGTGACAGACAACACAGTAGGTCCCAACAGAGGCCAGCTAAGAGTCTTGCACCGTAAGAGTCTCAGGAATTGGAGGACAGTGGCTCCCGAGGACTGAAGGTCAGGGGTCTTGCAGCTGGAGGAAGTCCTGCTGGCGCTCATTCTGTTAGACAAGCCACTGAGGAAAGGGCCCAGCACATTCCAACTGCCCAGGAGATCATTTCTGCCCCCAGTCAGGACAGGCAAAGCACATGACCAACACATGTCCCCCTGGGATCCTCCCAGGACCAACTAGGACATAATGTCCCCCACGTGCTGTCCCTTGCAGCCTGCCTGAAAGCATGTCTGTGCTGTACAAACAATAGCCCCTGGCAAAACAAACTGCTTTCCCATGGTCCCGATGGGAGATAAGGCCCCACAAATGACAGAGGCCAGTTCTGGAAACTTCCACCTTTTCACCAGAGCTGAATTGCAGCTGATCTCTAAGTATGGGTTTGCAGTAAGCTCCCTCCATGTTCTTTCAGCCTCACTTACCCCTTACCCCCACACTATGGGCCTGTGTGCACTCAAGGCATGGCCAAGGGGAGGGAGGGAGGGAGACTGTGTGCCTGTCCCCAGAGGTCAGAGGTCTCCTGAGCTCTGTTCTCTAAGTTCCTTCAGTCCTGCTTCTGGGCTGCTGGTTTCCCTGTATGACCCCCTGGGGTACACTAATCCACAGTAACAAAACCTGCTAGGGACCAGTGCCAGTCTCTCAGGATTGATTCTCACTTCCTCCAAAGGCTTCAGATACACCCTTCGCAGGTGGCACACCAGAAGTCAGTCACCTGTGAGATCACACACCAGCAAATCCAACCTGACCTTCTGTGAGCAGGTGAGGGAAGCCCCAACAGTCGGTAGAAATGAGTAGTCAGTCTGCTTGCAGCCCCCCCCCCCAACCTTGTTATCTCCTTTTCCTCTAAGACCCCATGGTAAAGACTGAGAGCTAGCCACTTTCTTCCCATACAGTCCTGACTGGGATAGTACTTCCAAGTATTGGGCAGCTGTTTCACACCCTTGGCATGAAGCTGGTCCATACAACGGCTTAGCAGATTACCTGGGGCATAGTGCATGCTCAGTAAGTGTTACTTGCTACATAAAGTCGTGTTCATTGTGACAAGCATGTCCTTGTCTCTCCATCTAATGGCCCAAAGCTAAGCACAGAGGAGGCTGAAGAGGCCTGGGGTGAATGCACAGACTCCCATTCTCAGCCATTTCCTGCTCTGACAGGCAGGCAGATGATCTCTCTAAATACAAAGGCATTGGCCAGTCCTGTGGGCCATAACACAGAGCTTGGAAGAGAGAGTTAATGAAAGACATTAGATACGACTGAGAAACAAACTACCCTCCTCCAAAGAATCTCCTGTTAAACCTTTTGCAGGCTGCATAGCAAGAGCCACACATGATGAGGAGAGGTCCCCCTAATGCTTCAACTCGAGACTCATAGTGATTATGTAAATGTGCGCATGTGTTACCCAATAGTAACCAATCAGCAAAACTTGGACATAAAAATCAGTCTGTGTTCACTTTGAACCTCCTATACTACATGCTATGCCGCTTTGTCTCCTGCAGTACTTGTCTTGTAATTTAGTGGGCAAAGTTTATCTAAGTGTATCTATCAGGCATCACTTCCCACTGAACCTAGTCAGAAATAAGGGGAAGCTTGCTATATTGAACACTCATCACCCTGACACCATGAACCCGGCTGAAGGACAATGAGCAGTCTGAGCCAGCCAGCCTGGGAGTGGTGCTCTGGCAAGCCGGTGGGTGAAAGCACGGCAAGAACAGCCTCTAGACAACTCCCACTTGTGGGTGTGACACCAACCAGAGACATTCTGCTGACAGAAAGGCCTCTGGTAACTGGGCCTCTAAGCCCTGAAGGCAGGAAGGAAGGCAAGCCAGTTTAGGAATTCCTGCCCCCCAGCTATTTCTCTGCAGCAACCTCAACGTTTCTGACAATGGAGGGAACTCTGGCTTCCCTTTCCCCACTGCCAGAGGTTGCAAAGTGGCTTCCCACCTCCACCCACTCCTGGCCTCCCAGCTGTCTGGAGACATAAGCCGCTCTCATGACCAAGCTCAGGCAGCCAAGGGCAACTAGCCAGGGCTGACTTTGAACATTACATAACCAAAGAGCCTGGGAGTGTTTCCACAATTGAAGCCAGAGCAACAGGTCCCACAGAATTGGTGAATCTAACCACAGGCCTCAGGAGGGAATAAAGAGGCCTGAAGGTCAGCCTCTAGGATAGCTGGGCTCGACCCAGGGGTGAGTCACCCTTTACCCAGTCCAACCTGGGCCTAACACTTGTCTTTTCTGATGATTTTTCAGACCTTTGGATGTTCTCATTCTCTAAGATCTCCCCATTGAATGTCAGGACCCCACCCCTAATGTCCAAGGGTGCAGAGACCAGCAATGAGTAAGAAGGCAGGCAGTTCAAATGGACCTCAGCACATCCCAGCTTGAATTTGTGACTAGTCAGTATATGTCCCTTCTCTCTCCATATAACTATAATCCTAAGGTAGAAGCTGTCTCATGGGCTCCTGGGCTACAATCACAGAGATGTGCATACAAGCACAGGGGTTGAGGAACAGCTGAGTTACTCAAGCTGAAGCCCCCATCTTTAGGGCCACCAAGACAAACATAAGAACATGCTTCCAGCAGCTACTGCCAGTTCCTGCTTAGAAAAGACCCTTGTTAGAATGCTTGAACAATGAGGTGTCAGGCCCAACCCCACACCTGATGGTAACAATATGGCCTGGGAAAAGCACAAGGCCAAGACCAATGATCTCTTCTGGAGTAGCAGCAGGACCAGAGCATGGGTTTTTTTGTGTTTTCCTGATGCCAGGCTCCCCTGGCATGCTTGAGAACCTTCCTGTGCTTGGTGAGTGGTCTGATGGTGTGGGTAAGCTTAGCAAATATTCCTAATGAACTATAATGTGGGAAGACTACCAGAGCTGGGAAACAGAGAAGGCCCTGTTCTCAGTACTTATTCAGTGTGAAGACTGAAGGAAAAGACACCTATCAGATAGCCTTGGTGACAGCACTGGCCCTGTGGCTACAACACAACTCAGCTAACAAGGCCTCTTAGGCTCATGCAGTCCAAGATGATACTCTTAGAGGTTTTAGACGGGCCAAAGAAGGGCAGCAACTGTACAGAGGTCTCACAGTCATCAAGTAGCAAAGCTATCAGCCATCTGGTTCCAAGGCTCAGCCTCCCAACAAAGACCTATGAATGAACCTGCCTGTCCTGGCTTAGGAGCAACCAGCCACCATCTCTTCCTGTTGCCTCAACAGCTCCCTGGGGGAGACTGGGTTTTCTACACTGAACAAACACACATTCCAGGTCCAACCACTTGGCTTCCCTTGACCATGACTCTTCTGGCAACCCCCCAAGATCCCTCCTGGGGCCAGTGATGATGTCACTCACCTTCATCTGCTTAATGGTGTAGACCAGCGTGCCAAAAGGCCCCTCCTTCACCAGCTTCTTTCCCACCACTTTGGCTCGGATCACTGTAGACAGAGAAAGACAGGGAGGGAAGGGGTTAGGAAGGCCTGAACCACTCCTGGAAAGGGCATCTCGTCCTGAGTTACTATCTCAGCAGAACAATTCATGTCCTGGCACAGCCACGAGGCTAGCATGAACTCCAGTTCCCTCAGTACCCCAAGTCAGCGCTCTGATTGGCCTACCATGTCCAGCATTAATTGCAGTCAAGTCTAAGTCTGAAAGGGCCTAATGAGTGGTCCCCATCCCAATGCCTCTGTCCATGGATATTGTGACCCAAGACATATAGGAAACTTTGATTCTGGCTTCCCATCCCTAAAACAAGATTCCCAATAGTCTAGATGGTCTGAACTGGAATAATTAGGTAAGGCAAAGCAGGTGAAGCATACCCCTGTCTTTGATGTACCTTCTTTAGAAAAATGCTTAGAATCGTCACCCTTGGCATCAAAACTGGAAGGATTGCTACAGTAGGCATTCTAGTGCACAGCCGTTATATGCAATAGTATCAATCATTACTTCTCAACCTCCTCCCACAATCAGTGTATGTTGTCTCCAGTCATGCAGGGTCTGGCTTTTCTCATCAATGAATAGGGATTGGTTAAGAGACTGTTCCTTCTGTTTCTACTAGACTGTTTGTGTGAAGACACCCTCTCCTTCCAAAACAGTCTTCAGGGTTTTCTTAAGCCAGCCCCACAGAGCAATCAATGACCAGGAATTGAAAGGGGAAACCAGACCTGCAGAAATTGGTCATTCTGTGTGTTTATGTGAGGGGGGGTCACCTGATTCTGAGAACTAGTGAAAGGCAGGAGCTGTTGCGGGGACAGTGTGGCTGAAGCTCTGCTGCTGGGGAGCTGCAGAATGGAGGCGCTTTTACTAGTCTTGAGCTGCGAACAAAACTCTCCAGCTCTAAGATGCTACTGACTTTCCAAACTCAAGTTCCTTCCACCAGACATGCAGCAAACACACAACTCACTCCAACCCACTTTTTGAGTAAATATTCAAAAAATGCTTGTTGAATGACACATGTAAAAAAGGGCTCTCTCTCTCTCTCTCTCTCTCTCTCTCTCTCTCACACACACACACACACACACACACACACGCACGCGCACGCGCGCGCACGAGCACACACTCATTCTGCTGGAATCCTTAGTCATCACCTTGTAGATATTCCATAATGTTTCTATACTCTAACTCATCTTTTTGCTTAAAAACATCTTCATGAGGGGCAAGTCCCCATCCCTAGACTAGAAACAGTCTAGTAGTTTCTTGCTTACTGAGTCGAGATCCCACTTTTGTGGTTAGACATGAGATCAGAACTTGAATGAATTAGTGACCCTCTAGACCATTCAACAATCCTGGCAAAGCAAAGCCCACTGGTAAAGAGAGCTCCAAAGCTGAGGCAGTTCAAGTTAAGGGGGGGAGGGGCTCTTTCCAGGTCTGCTGTACGAACCAGACATTGACAAGGTTCCAGAACACCCCTGAAGACTCTGCCTCCGTTTCTGGTGTCTCACTTTTCAAGACCATCAGCAACAGGCAGTGGGCCGTCTTCACAGAGGCCCCAGACTCTCTCACCCACCCTGACCTCAGGGGCATATCAGAACAGCCCAGCTGCTGGGCAGAAGGCAGCCACCTGGACTTGATGGTCGATTCTCCTTCTCAAGGAACTGAATAACTTCATATTCATCAGCCTCATTTACCCAGAAGGTAAACTAGGGAGTAAGGTTTTACCTAAGAGGAAGATGGCAGCCAGGATTCCTTTAAGTAGCAGCATCTAGCCTTTCCTCCTTGCAAAGAGCTCACCTTGATTTAAACATAAAAAGTCCTAAGCAAACAAGCCTGCCCTGCAAAGCTGGACACTTCTGGAGGCTTCTGCACAAAAGATCAGCCAAGTCTTTTCTTACCCTGAAATGGCCTAAGCTTGAAACTTTTTCATCTGGGGACAATTTAGAGAAAACACACTGTGTCTTTGTGCTCAGAGTTCAGATCCTGCCATTACTATGTGGCCTCTCTACAACTCCTTCCCCTAAAGTCTCTCTGGATTTCTTCACCTAATGCCACTCACATTGATTACAAGTGACACACTTATAACTAGTGGTCGAATGCCATGAAGACCTGGACTTGGCAGGTTCCCCATGTGGAGTCAGATCCTAGCACTGGTGCCCTATGACCACAGGGAACTTACTAAACTCTCTGGCCTTAGTTTCCTAATGCATAAAATGGGAGTGAAGCTAGCAGTCATCTGCAACTTGCCGCGAGGGACGAGAACAAGCACCAAGAACAGCTTGTCATCCACCCCAAGTGCCATGCGTCTCATCTCACTGTCACTAACGTTTCACCGGACTCCCGAAGCCCTGTCAGCTAGGAACTGTCAACCTCCCACAGGATTAAGGTAGAGGGGAGGTTCCTGACTGGGATGGAAGTAAAGGAAAACTCATCAGAATACCTCAGCCTTGTAAAAATCACAGAGAAAAGTAGGGGTGACACTTGCGGTGACCAGAACTAATGTGCATTAGGCCTTCAGACTGAAGCATCTCCACTGTCAGTGTCGTCCTGTTCAGTCACTACAGATAGCCCAACAGTGACCTAGTGGGACCTGCCGAACAAGGTGGTGTCTGTGGTCCCAGGGTAGAGGTCATACCAATGTTTTCTCTACAAAAATAAAACTTCTTGAAACTAAACTAAAATTAAACAACATCTTGTGCTCCCAAATAGATGTACAGCCCTTCCAAGTCAAATTGCTTGCCAGCCCTAAATCCACCTATTTGGCTTGCAAATTATTATAACTTCATTTGCTTTAGTTTGTCCTGTGCAATTTGGATGTGTGTTATTCTGTGCTTTCCTATTTGGCAGTAAGGTCTTCCCTGGAGACAGTCACTGGCCCAGGCAGGGGCCATGGGGGACGAGGCTTGGGGGGTGTCCAAGACTTCAGCAGCAATAGAAAAGTGCTCTGCAACTTGAAGCTGACATCACATCTAGCCTCCCTCTCCACTTTCAAATGGCAGCTTTGAGATGGACCGTGCTGGACACAGGTTCTCTTTATTCCTGCTAGAGAGTGACCACCCACTATTCAGCCAACATCTTCCAGCAGCTGAGCCAGCCTGGGCATGGCCTAGACTGGTGTTTGGAAGCATGAATGCTTGGTAGGGGTGATGGCAAGAAATACAAGCCCTATTTCCTGCTTCCACAGACAGTCTAGCAGGGAGACACGGTGGAGTTTAACCCCAGAGAGCAAATCGCCTAGAGGCATGGGTGAAGGAAAGACCGGAAGGGGTGGCCCAGCCTGACTCCGCCTGAGGCTCCCTAGGTTCTCTGAGTTCTCTGCTTCTGAGGGTTTGGAGATTAAAAGGGACAGGAAGAGATTAACTAACGAGGCAATAATATTTCAACTTAAAGTTCCTAAGGAACTGACTAGAGACTCAGGTGTAGAAAGATGACAGAAAGACTTGCCCAGAATGTCTTGATTTCAATCTACAGACCACAGAAGGAAAGGAGCAGGCTGTAAGTCCTTTGGTACTGGCTCAAAGATCCACAAATACATGCGGAGTTCTCAAATATATCAGAGACCTGGAAAAGCAGGCATAAAAGCACATATTTTTGGAAAGTTGGTCAGCTCTCCCAACCATATGAGGTTGATACTTCCTCCCAATGGTCCACCCCCTTTCGCTAGAATGTAGACCCCACCAGCACAAACTTTAAACAGTAATAGTTCCAGGGCAAGCACATCACTGATGTATCTCTAGGAATCACACATCTGCTATTAATCAGCATATTCAGAGAACTCTCTCCACAACCACTCCGCCCCCAACCCAACCACCGTCAAGTCAAGCAAACCAGGATCTTCCTCTCCCTGATTTTCCTACTAACAGGCTGGAAGGATAAGCAGTGGGGCTGCGGATCTGGCTAATTTGGAGAACAAAGGCCCTAGGTTAGTGGAGATCACCCATCTCAGGCTTCCGTCAAAAGCTATGCCACTCCATCTATTGTCTCCTAGGAGCCACAGAGACTTGGGGTAGACAGGACTCTGTGTAAACCTGTCCAAGAAGGGCAGAGCAGGCATCCCTGGTCCTCCAGCTGCCCGCCCACTCCACCAGTTCCTGACTGTCTTCACATTGCACCTGCAAACGCAGTGAAGAAAAGAACTAGATAGAAACTGCCATTGACTGCCCTATGTGCCAAGCACTGTGCACACTTCACTGTGTTCCCACTGGGGTGACTTCTGTAAGATGGAAACTACTGTACCTGTTGGGGGTACCTACTGAACAGGAAACTGGAGGGTACCCCAAGAAAGAAGACTGCCATTGAACCTTTGCAGAATAGTTCATAACTGTACTCTACACCTGTTGTCAACCCTGATGGGACTAGAGAAGGGTAATGGCTGATATGTCCTCAACAACTTTATCAACTTAGCCAACCTTGAGGCTACCCTTCCCATTCTGTTTCTTTCTCTCTCCCCTCCCTCCCCCTCCCTCCTGCCCCCTCTCCCTTCCTCCCTCCTCTCTTATTAGTAGCAAGAATTTACAAGTAATCACCTTCAACAGATAATGGTAAATCATTTATTTAGCTTACTGTGCTTCCCCAGTACCAGGCATGTACGTCTAAAGCACTTTGGCGTGGAGCTGAGCAGGGGATTTGGAGGCAGGGGACTGGACAGCACTTACAGACTTGTAGCACTTTTTGACTTTGTAGAGGAAAACAGAAGCCTTCCCCTGAGGGTACACAGTACCCCCCACACACCTTTGTCCTTTTCAAGCTCTTTCTCAGTAACCTGTTGCCCCTTTGGGGATCCTTGATGTATCCATATTTGAGGACAAGACAGCAGGAATGAAGATGAAAGCGACTTAGAAGCCCCTGGGTCTCCCTGGTTTCCAGCATTGTGGGTACCATGACCCCAAACTCTAAAAATCCCTCTGAAGAGGCTCAGACCAGAAGGTCAGACAAAGAAGACCTCTAGCAAGTCAGTGCTGACAGGCTGAGACAACAGGAGGTACGAGGCCTCAGTGCCGTCACT